CCCTCTACTTGATGAAAAAAATGGATATCATTTTCGGATTCAGCGTACAGGAATTACTGTAGAACATGTAAAAAGTTCCAAAAAATAAAACCATCGCAGGCCTGTGTTATTAATCATATGAATTCTAAAATTAATCATAACATCAATTTAAAAAGAAAATCACAGTTTTAAAAAATATTACTTTAAACATAAAAATTCTTATTTCTATACATTCTAGATAAATAGCATGTTTGCTGCATAATAATTTACAAACAAAATTAAAAAGTGTTACTTCTTACATCTAAATTATGACAGTAGGTGATATAAAGTATAATTTCAGTAAAACGGAACATAATAGCTGACGTGATATAGAATGAAATGTCAAATGCTTGACACTTTCGTTGAAAATGAATATTTTTGAGTTGTGGTTAACTCCAATAGCATCAATTATACAGGTTATGTGTGTGAAAGAATAGTTATAAAAGTTACGTTTTACTATAGGTAGAATGTGAACGGGTGACTCGAAACACAGTAATTGGAAGGCCAACAAATCAAAAGATGGATATTTAATCATTTATTATAATATTCAAATCAGCACACCAAGATAAAGTAGAAATACTGCATTCGTTAATCTGCCACTTAACGTTGCCTTAGCAGAGAAAACGAACTTCATAAGGTTGTGTTGTAACCTACGAAAAGCGAAAGGAATGAATTGTTCTTTCGAGTATGTCAGTAAGTCAAGCATTTCTTGTGTTAGAAAAAGGCAGTGGACTTAAGTTCTTGATTTTGAGTTGATTTTTCATCTTAAGCGAAAATCACTAGTTCACTGGAGTGCCTTAAAAAAACGAGTACAGTATTTGTCTAATTTTTAGTTGCTACCATAGAATACATTTTTTGCTATAATATTTACCTTAGTGTTTTCATTCAAAGTGATAATGTCATATTTATTATGACATAATATATATATATATATGTGTGTGTGTACTTTTCTTCTTGGTTAGGAAAAATATTCTTCAGTTTCCAGAAAAACCACATAACTAATATTCGAGAAAGATAAGTTTGTTTGTTTTGAAGTTAAGCACAAAGCTACACAATGAGCTGTCTGTGCTCTGTCCTCCACGTGTATCGAAACCCGGTTTCTAGCGTTGTAAGTCCGCAGACATACCGCTGTGCCACTGGGGGGCAGAAAGATAAGTTTAAACACAGGAAAAGTTATTTCCGTTATATGGCTAAGGCAAGTTTAACAACTTTTATAACATAAATGTTTCTTTGTAATTTCCATAATGTGTGAATTAAGTTCAATTGGATGAATGTATTATGAGTTTAAAAAGTTAAAATAATAATATGACAAAGAATCAAACTACATTACTAAAATAATGTATGAAAAGTCTCTAGTCATAAGTCTCAAAAACAAAAGTGTTTATTAATCCCTGATAAGCGTATTTAGGGTACATATTAGTGAGTAAAAAAACATAAAAATTGCCAAAAATTTATCTTACTTTTTTTTCTTAGCAAAACGCATTTCTTCTCACGTTTGTTCAGGGGGTTATTAAAGGGGGCTGTTTACTTTAACAGTAATCAAACATAGAGCTGTAATATAAGAGAAGTGTGACATGTTTAGACTGGTATTTTCATCAAATATTGGTCAAAAGGTACAAAATGAATCAAAATACCCCCTCAAAATACTCTTTCTAGAAACCATTACAAAGGTAGCAAGTCAATTTTTTCAATGTCAAAATTAGTCGTCTAAAATATATTCTTAATATTTTTTAACTTATTGTGTTTTTTCACGAATTTTAATTAACATCCTCCATTCTCACAATACCATATGTCTATAAAAAATACATTGTATTTCTATTTATAAAGTTCAGGACTTTCTCCAAATGAATATGATTTCATTACACTTTGGATATTTTAATAACACACTAATAACCTAAGCGTAAACATTCATAAGAGACAACTATGGAAAACATTTAGTACAACAATTTATGTATCCTTATCAATCTAAAAGTAGATTCTTATTTCGAACGGCCCTATTTTTATATGAATCTGTGCAGCTAATTACAAGAGTCTCCAGAGCTTTCTTGGGTCCCCCCATTTGAGAACCCAAATATGAAGATCACGAACATCTAAATAAACGTATATACAAATTCGGAATATCCCTTAGGTTTCTGTACCAATTTTCAAATGTATCGCATCAAGCCAACCTAAAAAAAAAATCACTTGATTCCCCATGTGTGGGACAACCTCAAGACGCTTTTGATAAACATTTTCTTTATTTATATTATGTGAGAATCAAGAGCCTCCAAGCAAAGTTTTAAATCGGTTTGTCGAGAATTGTGGGTGTAGTTCAAGAAATCACATAAATATAAAACATAGAATCCCACAGACACATACATACAATTGCCAATTATCATATGGATAATTATTATACAACTGAAAAATAACTATGTCATTTGTAACTTCTTGCTGATGATAAAGAAGTCGGGATATAATATTATACCTGGTGATCAGTGTTCTATAACAGTAAGTAAAAATAGGTCTGCTTGCTACCTGAACTCCTCTCTCCCTTGGGTATTTCATTAGAGTCGGAAGAAGTAGCGCCCTTCATATTCTGGACAGCAACCAATAACTGTTCGGCAATATTGGTTTGAGTTCCCATAGCAAAGATACCAGCTGTTAACCCTAGTGTGGGACTGGCTGTGGCAGAGACAATGGGAACTTGATGACTGTAGCCTAATCCATCTCGACGTTGCTATAAGATGAAAGTATATAATACCTGTGGTAACAATACCTTGAAAGGTTTACGTAATACTTTTCATTATGAATGCAAAGATAAAAATGATAATATACAAAAATACTTCATTGGAAGTTCTTTTTACAAGATTAGATAATTACAGCATCACAAAAAATATAGCCATTTTTCACTTACCATAAATTACGGATAATTAGGTATTTGCCTTTGTAACAAGGCGTTATACCACTTCTAGTGTTGATATACAAGGAGTAAGTACTTTATTGAATAATTGCCTTTCGGAAAAACTAAAACAACACAATAAATTCTAGGCCTGAAAAGCGGTTAAAACTGTGAGAGCGCTGGCCTTCTTGACCAACTGCAGGCAAAAAAGTTGAAAATTAGAGCAATGTGTCATCCAAAGTTCTTAGGATACAAATTTAAAATAAAAATTCATACATACATATTCAGAACTCTGTGCAGAACTTGTAGACACTAGTAAATGATGTTAAATGCTCTTATTTATTAAGTGTATAGAAGTATTAAAGCAAGCCGGGTTAAAGTGTCATTGGTTCTTCATTCGAGTTTTATTCTAAGTACTTTTAATTTCAACAACATCACTTATATAATGCATAAACAGCTAAAAAACTTTGCAGTCCAAGCGGAAATCTAGCAGAAGATTGTTTGTTTGTTTGGAATTAGCACAAAGCTACACAATGGGCTATCTGTGCTCTGCCCACCACGGGTATCGAAACCCGGTTTTTAGCGTTGTAAGTCCGCAGACATACCGCTGGGGGGGGGGCTGTAACAGAAGAAGATGATATACGCTTTATGCTTTATTTTTTCACAACAGCGAGTCTTTACTTTGACTTAAAAGTAGCTTACAGGTAACTTCCTAACAAGTTTTAATAATTTAAATAGCACTGAATCAATTTAATTTGTTTTTTTGTTTGAACGTGTGAAAAGTTACTGCAGTTTAAGGCGACAATCATTTCTTTTCTACTAACTGCACAAAACTTGTATAAACTGCTTCACTTCATAACTCCTTTTCTTTTTGTTTACTTCAGTCGAATTAAAAAACTCGTAGTGTATATGATAAATACACAAAACGCTCCTAGGGTTAGACCAACATGACGGTGTGTGTTTTAAATTATTTACTAACCACATGCAAGTACTTCACAAATATTTAATAATAAAAAACACACATACACTAATAATTTTAGGGGAAAAAGGCATACATTTCTAGTTATTGTACAAAGTTAGATATCTACCAGTACAATACAATCTATCATAAAACAATTTTTATTATAATAAAACCAGTCAAATAAAAGTATTAAACGTCCATGACGTGCATAATTTGAGAAAGGTCGGAAATATTGCAAAGCATGGCATATAAATCTGATATTAATCTGTCAAACGCCAACATTCAACGTTATCAACAGACACGGCTATTACGCATATACGAACAGTTACCAGACCTACAGTGCACATACTTCGTCGCTTTGTCATATACCACACTTGTACCATCTGAAATGCTGACACATATCAACAATCTGTAGATAAATTCTAAAACAAACATAACATGCATATTCTAATTAGTCATAAACTACATATATGGTATCGAAGAAGGAGAGAAACTAAAATAAAAACTCATTGGCTATCTAAACTTTAGAAGGGTTACCTGTAAATAGTATTTGACATCCGAAAAGATTTTCAGATATCAAATATAACAAAAAATAATTTTCGGATTTGTAACGTAGTAGGTGTATTATTAACCAGTTTACATCAACTATACATTATGTTAATTATCATTTACAAAATTAAGTTCCATGCATTTAGTTACTTTTTCGAAATAAATACTCCACAAAAACTGTCGAGAACAACAATAATTTCCACACTGGAGAAGACTAGCGAAAATAAAACATACTCTGAACTAGTGTTAGGATATGTATTGAGGATTTGTCTATACCACTGATATTATAATGGATCGTTCACGTATGTTTATTTAAAATGTTCTTACGTGTATCTGTATGTACTGTACTGAGTCCTAATTCTGTTGTAATTTACTTACATTTATTAGTTTATCGAAAGCTGAAGAAATGAAATATTAATTTTGGTAGGATACAGTGGTCTGAATAGCTCTATTACCCTAAGAATTAGGGTTAATATTTTTCTTCACCACTATCGTATTGTATCTTAGAAAAATTCATTACTGTAAACATTCTAGTTCCATTACTGTTAACAAGGCACCGCCTGACTATGATTCATCGACGTTAATTATGACATGACCTGCACAATTTCACTTTGAACAGCTAGAGAACTAGAATCATTGAACGCTTGAAACTTTCAATGCTCAAAACTGTTTTTAGTTTTGATGATTGAGTTCAGGATAAACTACACTGGTGTCTCTATCTCATTTTGCTTTTATATGGTGCTCAAAATTATGACTGGATTAACATATTCATTTTGGAAAATTAATATATAAAAAAGTCTTACAGAATATTAGTGAGTGGGGCTTTTTTGTTGGTCGTTAACTTTCACATATTGTAGTGTAATCATTCAATATATATAAATATATGTGTATAACCTACTGAAATATAATGGGACAATACGTTAATAATTACTATCAAACATTATATGGCTGCATATAATTCATGGGAATTTGATACATTTAACTGTTTAATTGCTCAGTAAAATTTCGCAGTAATTAGATCTTCGCTAATAAACTTGCAATCTGTTACCAACACAGTTCTAAAAAGGTGACTTCTATAGTTTTATCATAGAACACCTCTATTCAGGACTGAATGATATGGTTTGTTTCGAATTTTGCGCAAAGCTACACGAGGGCGATCTGCGCTAGTCGTCCCTAATTTAGCAGTGATAAACTAGAGGGAAGGCAGCTAGTCATCACCACCAATTCTTGGGCTACTCTTTTACTAACGAATAGTGGGTTGAATGGTCGAGCATGATTAGTGGGGATTCGAACCTGCGACCTGCAGATTCGAGTCGAGCGCCCTAACCACCTGGCCTGCTAAGGCCAGGTGTGAATGACCTATGTTTGTTATAGTGTGAAGTTCTGCAGCTTTCCAGATTGATTTCTTCTATTCTGTCATTTAGGTAGATTTAAAAGTACAGTCTCTATGACAATTATTTTTTTCTGTATGAAATAAGGTGATCATTTTTTTTTGCTGTTAAGCGTACTGCGGGTATCGAAACCCGATTTTTAGCCGGCGTTATAAGCAGTGAGCCATCATCATTATGTTCTAGTATGGAGCGGTGGTACGTTCCACCGATGCAAAAACCAGAAGTCTACCATCAATATGTATTTTCTATGAAGTTCGGATTCCTTCACAAAGAAGAATGCACAGTGTTGTATCTATGTCTAAAACTAGAAATCTTTGAAAGTGGATTAAGGATGAAACGTGGTCTAGTGGTTTGCATATCGGATCCGAAGATTTTGAAAAGGATTAGATTACTGATATATAGTTAAAAGACAATTTGTATACATAAAATTTCTACTCCCAGGTTAATATATATACACAGCGTGGACACAAGTAAATAGACACCACCTTTTCA